TGTTAAATTGCGTGAAAAAATCCCGGGTAGCGATTTTTTTTTTGTGGCTTATTTAAAAAAAAATACGGTTGCTTTTAAGGAAAATCAGGCAAGCAACTTAGTCTCTTTACATTTATGTTCGCTGTATTCTCCAGTGCATTGATTTAAACTCTGTCTGCTCACAGCTAATAGCCAATCAGTGCAATAATAAAAGTACTGTAGCGTAATTCGTCAAACTTTCCTCCCCCTCACTGGAGAAAAATCTCCTTCAACATGAAGGCGTGTGATGCTGTAATCCAAGCAATGATAGTAGTAGATGTAATAGAGGAGTGGGATGAATTTCTTTTATAAGGTAAATTTTTTATTTTTACAAGTTTTTGTAGTGTATTAATTATCGCGGGATATAATAAAAAACAAGTAGGCCTATACTAACAGTATGTGCTTTATTTTTAAAATGTGTATAGGAAATCATTACTTTGTGTTAGATAGTACAGTCGTTAGGTCTGGTGATTTAGTGACAGTGATTTTGCTGTGGTTGCTAGGGTGTTTTGACTGGTTGCCATGGTGTTACTATAGTACTTTAGGTGGTTGCCAGGGTATTCTGGGTAGTTACTTACTGGTCTGTAGATCCCTCTATCAATGTTGGTCTGCAGGATTTTTTTTCTCTGAGAAAGAGAGATCATTGTAATGGCTGTTGTAGCTTTATGTCTATGAATAATCAAGCTAATCGATGCAGATGAATTATCATGCTGTCAGACGCTCCACCCGCATCATTTCACAGGCCGTCAGGAACCATCAACACATTAGTGTCTCTGCATTGAGAGATGCCACATGAGTCATTAATGAGGCAAGGATAAAAGTTGCTTACATTGGAAGAACCCTGTACGGCTCTGCTAACAGAATGAAAATCTAAGTGTGTGTGTGTGTTTTGAGCTTGCAGGACAGATCCCGCTGTCAATTTCTGTGACTATCACTATCTTTGTAGTTGGGAAGTACCATATTTTATAATATTTTCTGAAAAAGATTTGTGCATGTCTGTCCAAAACTCTAGGGACCCCACTGTATGTATTGAGTGTTACATTTTAAACCTTGCTTATAATAACAAATGTTACACAGTTTTAAAGTATTTATAATATAATGACACTTACATTACGTTACATTACATAACGTTTTCAACTTCAAAACTGACGTTTATAAGGTCTACAGTGTATAGGACCAGAGTTGCCAGATCCGCTTATAATACGCGACTTTGGGCTTCATCTTCTCCTTTTTTTTTTTTTGTTAAATTGCGTGAAAAAATCCCGGGTAGCGATTTTTTTTTTGTGGCTTATTTAAAAAAAAATACGGTTGCTTTTAAGGAAAATCAGGCAAGCAACTTAGTCTCTTTACATTTATGTTCGCTGTATTCTCCAGTGCATTGATTTAAACTCTGTCTGCTCACAGCTAATAGCCAATCAGTGCAATAATAAAAGTACTGTAGCGTAATTCGTCAAACTTTCCTCCCCCTCACTGGAGAAAAATCTCCTTCAACATGAAGGCGTGTGATGCTGTAATCCAAGCAATGATAGTAGTAGATGTAATAGAGGAGTGGGATGAATTTCTTTTATAAGGTAAATTTTTTATTTTTACAAGTTTTTGTAGTGTATTAATTATCGCGGGATATAATAAAAAACAAGTAGGCCTATACTAACAGTATGTGCTTTATTTTTAAAATGTGTATAGGTAGTATTTATAAAGTTTTAGCTTTTAGTTTTGGATCTGGTTTTAGTTGTTTTAATACTACAATTGATTGCTTCAGTCTGATAAATGATTAAATAAATAAAAAATGTGCATTTGATTCAAATATATTTTATTGGGCTATAAATATGTGGCTATGTTACAGCTCCCCCTTAAAGCTCTTGTCTTTTTCTCATTTCCATTCTGCTCACAGGTGATCGGAGATGAGTGATAGTGCGCGCCTCCCGCTTTATTGCAGTTTGCTGATTTTTGTAAAATAACTTCTGTTTTTGCTTTTCAAATAAAAGAGTGGTTTCAGTTTACAGGGTTTCCGCGGGTCCTTCAAAAGTCTTACATTTAGCTGTCAAATTTAAGGCCATAAAAAGTCTTAAATGGTACAGGAAAATTAGGCTAATTATGATTTCAAGAGGTGTCAAATTTGGGGAAGGAAAGACCAGAATTGTGATATGGCTTAATGTGACGATTAAACTTCAAAAGGCTATTGATTTCATGAAATAAACATGAGCGCTGCACTTTTCAAAGTCAAGAGAATGAATGTGCATTTTCAATAAGCCCATCTGCTGTTTTTGTTCAGACCAACGCTAAAATCAATGTTATTTAATTCATATATTAACTGACTGATAAAAATTAAGTTAATATAATAACTGATACTTTTGACATCCATTTTCTTATAAGTGGTTTAAAGGCTGAAAACCTTTTTGTGAAAACCTGTATCTGAACTGTAAATCGCGTTATTCCATTACCCATACCGTACCCCGGTATTAACTGTATTTGTGCAGGTCTTAAAAAGCCTTAAATATGAGCTTGCAAATAGTACCCTGGATTAAAATGTTGCAGGCTCATTTTTGGTAATAAATAATATTGATGATAATAAATAATCAAATAATATTGGGCTTGTTTTTGAAGCTTTGGTTGCTTGCTTATTTGTCTCGTGAGAGTTGGCAACAGTGTAGACAAAACGTGCAGGTTTTTACAAGCAAGAGACCATAAAATCACCGTGAAATCAAAATGGACTATTCTTATTTTTTTATGTAATATTTCAGTGTTCATTATAAATTATTTATGCGTGCACATCATTATTTTCACTCATAAATCGAAAACCGCAGCGCTCATATGCGTTGCTTTCTTTCAGGCTGAAAGTGAGTTAGTGTGATTAATTACATCTGCAGATGATTTTATCCCGGAGTGCATTAATTCACTAATAAAGCCTCGATGTCTCAAATGCGACCAGGCGAAACGTGAATGCTGAGCAGGGAATTAATGGATTAGCATTTCAGCATCATGATAAATGAAATCCGCTCGGTTTGATATAGTGAGCACTTTACATCAGGAACTGACTCATCCAGGGGCCTCATATAGGTCTATCTGATCATATTTCAGCAGATTGATTAGCCTATGTCTCATGAATGTTTCAGTTTAATACTTGTTGAAATTAGGCTACAAGTAAACGTGATTTGTAAATGTTGTCAAAATTGTAAATAATAATAATACATTAAAACGACGATTATTTCTTTATTTCTGTATTTCTCTACATTTCGTGATCATCACAAAGACCGCAGTGACATGATGTTTGGCAAACTGGCGAAGTTTCTACTGAGCAAATTTAATTCAACTGCACCAGAACTGATCTGCGCGTTAATTTGCAGTGGTCAAGATATGCCATTACATCAAACCGCAATATTCACTCACTGCTTGAACACAGAGGTGTAAAGAGTACCTAAAAACCATACTTGAGTAAAAGTACAGATACCTTAAAAAGTACGTTGACAAGTTTGGGTGAGTAAGGGCAAAACGCAGTACTTTCAGTGACCTGTAGCAGGCAGTATCACGTCTTTTGTAGCAGAAATAAACTGCCGCAGAAAAAGCTAGGTCCATGCAAAATGTAATGTGTAACTGCAACACTCATTTCAAATGTAGTGGAGTAAAGAGTAAAAGTTGCTAATATCTTTGATACTCAGTACAACTACAAAGTACCCGAAAAGATACTCAAGTACAGTAACAAAGTACATTTACTCCAATACTTTACACCTCTGCTTGAACATAAATAAATGAATAAATAAATAGGCCTACATATATGTAACCCTGCTCTGCACACTGTAAATCATCTAGCATATTGGACTCCTAGGAACCGTGAATTACTGTAAATCTCTATACTAACATGTTAGATAAAAAAAATACTGGTCTCAAAGTAGCCTATTGTTTTATTTTTGTATACCATTAGGCCTATACTTTTTTACTCTCATAGTTTTTTATTAATATTTTGAAATGTAATTAATTGTTATGTTTTTTATTTTAATTAGTTTTAGTAAATTTGTCATTTTTTTGTATTTTATGTCTGTCGTTTTAGCCTATTATACTTTTTTACTATTATAGTTTTTGTTAATATTTTGAATTATAATACATTTTGTAATTTTACTTATGGTTGACGTTTTAGTAACTTTGTTGTGCTTTGGCATTTATGTTGTATTGTTTTTAAGTTTTAGTTTTTAGTTTTAGTTATTTTAGTATTTAAAATGTAAACTAACATGAGAAACGTGTCCTTGGCAATTAGCTGAAATAAAATAAGTTTAACTTTTTTATATTTTATTTTATTTCAGTTTATTGCTTTTCAAGTAATGATTTGTTTTATGTTAATTAAGGATTCATTCATTTTTATTATTTTGGTAAGATCTAAAATCCAGCATTGAAGTCAAGTCTGTTGACATCAAATCAAATCTCAAATGTGGTAATAGATTGCTATGCTCTACTTGGTTTTATAACCTTTTTCTAAGCAATCAATTTAATACTTTATGCTTATTTTTAAGTTAATTTATTTGAGACATAACTGTTACGTATACCTTCATTTCATTTAGAATTACAAAGCAAATTCTACTCATGATGAATGTGATTAAAAGATGTCAGCTCAATCAAAAATATATACTCCACACATTAATCTCTGATCTTCTGAAATGTCATAAGGTCAGTAACGGGGTTAAACTAGAGGTCCCGTCTGGGGATGAAAAGAGTGAGTGAGACTGAAAGTGTGTAGCAGGTAAAAAGAGTTTGTGTTCACTGGGTCATATCATAATGACATGGTTTTACTGTGGTAACTGATCTCTCTGTTACCATAGAGCCCTGGAGTACAATTACAGCTGCAGAGACACCTTACACACAAACACACACACACACACACACACGCACACACAGTTTCTGTCCCTTGAAGCGACTACACAGACCAAATAGCTTCATTGAAGTGTTTTCTGAATGTACAGCTATAAAATGTTTGAGGTCAGTGCTCACGGTTGATGTTTGAGGGCCTCGTCTCATGTCACACACAGTCCTGGGGTCCCGGAATCCTCATGAGAGGAACCACGGACACCGGTGAGTAAAACTCCTCCTGTCTCTCTGTGACGTTTATTCTGCCATCATTTTTGTTTTATGACATGGTGTTCATTTGACCTCTGAGAGATGAGATGCATGCAGCTTTATCGCATGCTTTAAACATGTTTCTGTTTGCATCAATGAATAAAACATCTATACATGTGCATTGCGTCATTTGGACTAAAATGGAGAGAAGAAAACGTCAGTCCATCAGATTATTTCATTTGCTCAGTGCTTAAATATCAAACCCTATCTCTGCTAGGGAATTAAAAAATAAAAAAAACTTTATATCTCAAATTTCTGACTTTTTTTCCTCAGAAGCCTGAGTTTATAACTTACAATTCTGACTTTTTCACTTGCAATTCTGAATATCACACAATACTGAGTTTGTATCTTGCACTTTTTTCTTTCAATTCTGAGTTTATATCTCAGAATTCTGACTTTTTTCTCCATAATCAGTTTATCTCACAATTCTGAAGATCATATCTGGCAAATCTGAGTTTATATCTCACAATTCTGCCTATTTTTCTAATAATTCTGATCTTATAACTCTCAATTCTGAGTTTAAATCTTGCAATTCTGATTTATATCTTAATTATGACTATTTTTTTCTCAAAATGTCTCAAAATCTCAAAACTTTTTTTTTCTTGCAATTCCAAATTTATAACTCACAATTCTGAGTTTATATCTCACATTTCTGAAATTTTTTATATATATTTTAACTATTCTGAATAGTTTATATATTTGCAATTCTGAGTTTATATCTAATTCTGATTATTATAATTTTTTTATCTGAGATATATAAACTTGCAATTGTAAAAAAACAAAAACAGAATTGTGATGTAAAAAGTTACAATTATCTGTATTTATCTATTTTTATTCCATGGTGAAAATAGGCTTTCATATTTAAAAGCTAAAAAGCAGGATGACGGACAGCTATCTAACATCCTCACCTGGAAGAGAGAGATAAGAGAGCAAACGTGTCTCATTACAGAGATCTCTGGCTATCTGAGAACTGCTAAGAAAGATCAGGACGGATCCTCAGTGAAACTAGAGAGATGTGACATTCAGCCTCTTATCAGCATTGTGTTCTACAGTACTGCATACTGTGTAGTATGAACACACTATACTTGTATTTTTAGTGCATTCAAGTCATGGGAAGTTGTAATTAGGACATCAATTCAGGTCACTCTGGTCAGAGCAAGATTGTGATGTACCATTTCTACAAAAAAAAAACAGCTATATATAACTCTTCTAGATAATGGTGAATAAAGAATGTGCATCAGTGTTCAGTGTGTTTTTGATTAAAGACATTAACCTTGGGATAGAAAAAGCGCAGACACAAGGCTGAACATTTGCTGTGCGCATGTGTCGAAAGGCTGAGCGTTCGTTGTACGCATGTGCTAAGCGTCATAACTGAAGTACATTGTTGCCAAGTCTGCGGTTTTCCCCCGGAATTGGGCTACTCTAACCAGTGTTGCCAAGTCTGCGGTTTCCCACGGAATTGGGCTACTCTAATCAGTGTTGCCAAGTCTGCGGTTTCCCCCGTAATTGGGCTACTCTAACCAGTGTTGCCAAGTCTGCGGTTTCCCCCGGAATTGGGCTACTCTAATCAGTATTGCCAAGTCTGCGGTTTCCCCTGGAATTGGGCTACTCTAACCAGTGTTGCCAAGTCTGCAGTTTCCCCCGGAATTGGGCTACTCTAACCAGTGTTGCCAAGTCTGTGGTTTTCCCCGGAATTGGGCTACTCTAACCAGTGTTGCCAAGTCTGTGGTTTTCCCCGGAATTGGGCTACTCTAACCAGTGTTGCCAAGTCTGTGGTTTTCCCCGGAATTGGGCTACTCTAACCAGTGTTGCCAAGTCTGTGGTTTTCCCCGGAATTGGGCTACTCTAAACAGTGTTGTCAAGTCTGTGGTTTTCCCCGGAATTGGGTTACTCTAACCAGTGTTGCCAAGTCTGTGGTTTTCCACGGAATTGGGCTACTCTACCCAGTGTTGCCAAGTCTGCAGTTTCCCCCGGAATTGGGCTACTCTAACCAGTGTTGCCAAGTCCGTGGTTTTCAAACGGTGGGGAATTGGGCTACTTTAACACTGTTGCTGCAGGTTGTTTTTCATGTCAGCGGTTTGAAGCGACTCCAATAACATGATATTTATCCTCTGGAATGTGATTTTTTGCAGGGGAACCCCGCCAAAAAATGTGTATTTTAACCCCCCCAAATGTAATTTTTAACTGGGGACCCCCTCGAAACCAGATTGGGCTAGTTTTGGCCTAGTTTTGAGTAGTGATTGGGCAGGTTTTCTTGTGAAAATCTGGCAACCCTGCTGAAGTGGGCTTTAAATCGAATCTAAACCAGTTTTCTGTTTTGTCTCTCCTGTCTGTGATTTTAGGTGTCGAGCCTCCCACTCCTGCCGGCGGTCGGCTGGGCTCAGGTGCGGGGGGTTCGCCGTTCTACCGTGAGCTGTGGTTCATTGTGCTGATGGCTGGAGTCGCGCTATTGCTGTTGGCTCTCATTCTGGCTATAGTGTTACACAAGGCTCTCAATAAACCGCCATTCACCCGCGAACGGCCGCCCCTCGTACCACTGCCGCTCCATCGCCGCAGCCCGCTGGCTGTTTACCCACCCAGCAACTCCTACCTGGTGAGGCCAAAACGTCCTTATTTGACATATTGCAGGTTTGAATAGGCATGCGACAGTGTGCGGATTAATGAACAGGAAGCATTCAAACTATCCAATATGGCGAGAGTCTGAGAAATGGGGAGCGTTCACACGGAACCAGATTTTGCATTCCATTTCTTTTCTATGTAAACACCTGTTTTTATACAGTCTATGGTAAACACGCAGCAGAAGGATGTCGCTTGTGTATTTTGCAGCGTCTCGCGCGCATTTTTAGAACACGAGTCAACCCAGCTAACAAGAACGTTCTAAAAAAACGTTTCGCTAAGGTTCCAATTATGAAAATTAACATTTTTGGATGTTCTTTCTGACTTGCAAAACGTTTTTGTTTTTAGAAAAAACGTCTAAACGTCTTTTGTTTTTCCATTTTTTTTTGTAGAGAAAACATTAAGGGAATGTTTCATTTTGCAAACATGAGAACATTTTTTAATGTTCTCTCAACGTTCTGAAACAAGTAATAAGTAGTAACATACATTAGATGAATGCCCATAACGATATATAAACAACGTTGTGAGAACATCATTACTTTGAACAATGTTCTATGAATGTTATTGGAAGGATGTTTTTTTATAACATTGAAAGAACCTTGTCCACGTTCTGAGAACGTTCTCTGTTAGCTCGAGGTTCTCCATTGTTTTTCTGTTTAAATGGATGTTGTCGGAGTGGGTTTAAGTTAGTTCGGTGAACTTGCATTGTGCAGCTTTACATTTGCATGTCTCAGGTTTATTTAAAAAATGTGTTCTGTGTGTAAGGCCCATAATTTACCTATCTTTTCTGAGGGAATTCTGTTCAATGTCCTGGAATAATTCTAAAACATTTATCTATTTTGTCCTAAACCGATGAGGCTGTAACTCACCTAAGATCCTCCTGAGGGCGAGGTGTTTGTCTGTGAAATATTAAAGGGGTCATATGATGCGATTTCAAATTTTCCTTTCTCTTGTTGTATTTACAACACTGTTCCAGAACAGTTCAACCGAAATATTCAGATGTGTGCAGCACATTTTATGGAGGACTGTTATGGTGTTATTTTACTGACAAATGTCGAGAGCGCATTATTGTAGCGCAAAAGCACATTAATACAATGCACTCGCGCGAATCTCTCCGCTCACGCACGGATTTCCCTTGCTCTCGCACAAAACCGGACGCGCGTGCTCAGATACGCGCTGCTCTCGCCCGGAGAGAGTGCACGCACTTAAAAAAAAGGTGCTATATAAATAAAGCTTTAACCAATCAGACCTCCACAATTGGAATTCTTTTGACAATCAAAGATGGATCTTTAATTTCTTTCCAGTTTAATAATATTTTGCAATGTTAATGAAATGTAGCCTATAGAAATGGCCAGGAATTGGGTGCTTGGATAATTTGTACATATAACGTCTGTCCAACTGGTTGGTCTCTGAGCAATTGATCTAAAAACAACATATTATAGCCTATGGCCCTAAATACTTTATATAAAACATCAATGTTATGTCATAATATGTCAGACAGATACCTCAACTGAATTTAAAATCATTGCAATAAATTCTCAGTTGGTATGATGGCAATAATAAGTAACAACTCCTCAAATCAACATCAAATGTAAAAATAGATGTAAATGATGCAAGATATAACAATAAATGTTCTAATAGCATTGCTGTTTGGCCATTCATTAGGAGTTTTTTTTTTTCTTTTAATCCAGTGTTTTCAGTTCAGATTTTTTTTTAATGAAAATCCACTTAATATTAGCTATACATTCAATGGCACTCTCCTCTAAAACAGTGAATATACAGTTATATGACAGTTACATGTAATTACATTGTCTGCAAATGCATTAAACCCATAGAATAGAATGTAGTAATGTTATGGCAAATATGACAAATTAATTAGTGTTATATTTGGTCTCCAAATCTTAAGTATAGGTTTAGGGAATAGTGCATCTGACCCATATCTAAATAGTTCTGTCTTAAATCAGAAGTTATATATATATCAATCCATCCAAGTACACAATATATATAGACCTATATGACCACATGAATTTTAAGAATCATAAGCTTTTTTGTTTGTTTAGATAAATCGTTCAGAAGGGTTTGACCAAACTGTTAAACTAGGTTATTTACAATCATCCAAACACCCGATTCATTTCTAATATTATGACTAAGTAGTATTAAATTGTAAAGAAATGACAGATCCATCTTTGAAATTTGATTGGTTGATAACTTTTGAAAACGTTTAATTCAGGTGCGAAAAGAATGAATATCTATAGTGCATGAGCACAGAGAAAATAGTGTTTTTTGAACCTTAAACCGCATGAACACATTTCATTACACCAAATACACAAAATAATGTTATTTTTAACATCATATGACCCCTTTAATGACACGTTTGCTCCTCACAGTTCGACACAGTTCCAGAAACGGTGGGCTCTCCAAACAGCGTCACACTGAAGGCCTTCACCATGCACTTGGAGGTCAGAGATTTATTTTATTTACATGCACATGTTACAAAAAGAGTCATATTTGTTAGCTTTAACAATAAAATTTTGCTAAATGTTATTTTTATATACAAAATATATACAAAAAAATTCTGCACCACCAGCGGCACCAAGTGGAATAAAAAATAATGACCCCAAACATAAGTTGTCTCTGCAAATACACTAATATGGTAACAGGAGGAGCAATTTTGATGTACAAAAAAAGAAAAAGAAATACACACTTGACCTTTAAATGAGCATTTAAATATCATAGACATGTTATTATAGTTTTTGTTAATGTTTTATTAGATTTTATTTGTATATTTTCTGTTTTCATTTTAGTTTTAATAATTTTGTTGTGTGTTTGTATTTCTTTTTCAAATATGTTTAGTTTTTCTAAATTTGAATTATTTCCGGTAATGAAAATGTTTGGGTTTTTTACGGTTTTAGTTTTAGTCAACAATAGCTCTGCTTTAAACATAAATATAGATCTAAATTAATGTAAATCTAAAATTTAAGCTTTTTCAATTTTTTTGTTTAAAAAAATATATAAAGTTGTAAATATGTGTAATATGTCATTAAATGATACATTTGAAACTCCACTTTTTAAAGGCAAAAATAAAATAAAATGAATTAAAATGCTTTGATACTTTAGTCAAAACTGATTTATTTTACTAGCTTTATTTTAGTTAGTTCAGAAGATGTTGCTCTAAAAGTCATTTGAAGAATTCATGAAGCCTCTTCTCTCGTGTTCAGGAGGTGATTGAGAGTAAAGTGATGGAGGAGGACCGTTCTGCTGAAGGTGAGGATGGTTTGGTGACGGTCTCAGGTCTGTACACACAAAACCCTTTACAGCGCAGCGTCAGTCAGCTCATCGACAAGAAAGACGAGGAATCATGGGAGCCGCACTTCAGACGCCTCGACAGTGGCCTGGTGAGAGCATTACTTACTGCTGCTGGACAAAAAGTTTTTTTTTTGTTGCTAAAATATGATTTTGATGATGTGTTGTATGTTTGTCAGTTTGAAGGCGAGGAGTTTGTGGACACCATCAAAGGCTTCAGCACAGTCAGGAAGGAACACACCATGTTCACCGACACCAACCTTTGACCTTCATCATGACCTTTGACCTTCATCATCAGCACTTTCTCCAAACATCATCTCAGAACTGAGCGGAAAATGAACTGAACTGTTTTGGTGAATTCAGAACTGCTCTGGGACTCTATGGACTCGTGACTCGTTTTTTTATTTGAAGAAAACAGTGTTGTAATTTTATGACAAATGTAATATTTAAGCATTAAGCAGAAGAGGCCAGTGTTCCCTCTAAGCTGTGCTTCTTACGTCGCGACCACGCAGAAGAAATAATATGCTGTGCACAGGACAGATGCAAAAATGAGTTGGGGAAAACCATTTGATTTAATTCTAGGGAATGTGAAATAATTGCAATGCTCGGCGTAAACTGCTATAGATTTGGTGTGGCTATAGAACCAGTGAATGCGGTTTACAGGTTTCATAGAAAGAGAATGACGTGCGCCAAATCAGTCGCTGTAGAGATCGAATACTTTAATGGTTGTGGGACAAATAGCTCAACACGAGAGAGCCAACGCATATGCAATTAAATGTGAAATAAAAATGTCATGTTTTAAAGAGGAGTGGCTTAATTAAGTAGTGGAAATGATGGGCACAGAACGGTAACAAAACTCCCGAGACATTTACAGTCACACAGGTGTAGTAGTGTGCAATGTTTAGTTAACTGTAAAAGAATTCACGTTCACGTTGTTTGAAAATATTTTTTTTATATTATATTTTATTATATGCGCTGTACAGGTCTGCCCCCCCCCCAAAAAAAATTAAATTAGAGGGAACATTGCAAGAGGCTACTTAATAAAGATAATAACATAAAACAATATTTTAATGAAAAGTTGTATATTTAAGTCACAATCGAACTGAAGCTAATATTTGGTGTCTGCTTAGTGAGGGACTTGAGCAGTGTTTTATAGTAGTAAATAAAACAATACATAAATAGTTCTTTACAACTTTTAACTTCTGAAAGAATTTTTATTTAATTTTTTTACTGAAAGACAAATGCACAGCAGGTTTGATGAACAGATGGTTTTATTTGAAAACTGCCCTGCTACATACAATGCATTGCTTATAAATTTCTAATTCAAAAGGACCATTAATGTTGCATTAAAAATAAGGTCAGTTTCAATGTACAAAATTTCATGCATTCCAAAAGGCAGCGTTTCATTATTGCTTGTATAACTATATAATCTCTAGTTATTATAGTACGTTTACCCTGATTTACTGTGCACTGCTAATGTTTCTCAGAATCAGGCCACGACCACCTGACGACACCAACAAGAGCAGTAGTTCAATGCTTCACGCAAATGTCGTGCTCTACAAAACTGTTCCCTTTTAGGCCAGCTGAAAGTGCGTGCAGCCACTTCTACTTTCTGAATGCTTTACAAACATGAAAACAATTTCTACCCTTCAGCCCACAGAACAGACTGATTTAGAGACATGCGAGATGTTTTAGTCCTCACATGCACAAACTGCTGAGTTTAAAGGAGTAGTTCACTCAGAAATGTAATTCATGGTCCATGATTTTATTTAATAGAACAAATAAAAAAAATTAAAAAAGCGACTGAACGCCTTCAGATGATTTGCTCTTTTTTTCGTCGTCTTTTTTCTCTGTCACATATCTTAGTAATAATCATAAATTACATATCATATGAAAGCTTAAAACCTCAAAATTCATCCTGTGAAAACCATTTTGAAATCGGACATTGCATTACCATGGAAATGGTACTTTAAAATGTTTTGGCGGTCTCCTCCCCCTTAGTGGGTGGAGTCAGGTGTCATATTACAAAATGTATTATGGTCTTTTAGAATCAAAACGTTTATAATCTTGACAAAATACATATCGTCGGAAAGGTCTGAGTCTCAAGATTCCATATTTGGTGGTTATTTTGTGACAGAAGTAATATTGACAGCGATATTTAGACATTTGTGACAGAAAAATGCATTTAAAAAAATTCAATGGAGATTTGATTGCACCCAGTGGCTGTCCTAAATAAAATAAAATCTCTCATGAACCTCAAATTGTTTTTTATATCAACTTCAAATTTGGAACATAACTTATTTAGACATAAGGCTTTAATTTTATACCAATTTTGGATTAAATTTTTTTTTTTAAATATTTATTTTATATAAAATAAAAATGGTACAGTGCATTTTCTTTACAGTAAATTTAAACTTCTTTAACTTTTTGATACTTTAATATTTTGAAATGATTCCAATTCTGCAATAATCTGCAGATTGTCTTCTTAAAAAAAAAAGAGTCCAAACTTAGGTCTGTATTCCAAAGTGTTCATGAATTATAACAATTTAAATTTGAATATTGCACTTTCACATCTATATTCAAAAATGGGGGGGTGGCACTTAAAGGGTTAAATATGGCACATGATCCATATGGACCTCTTTTATGCACAAAAGAAATAAAAACAGTTTTTTTTTTTTAGAGTGAAATAATCCTTTAAAGGAAGTTCATCCAAAAATGAAAACTTGCTGAAAATTGTCACCCTACATTTTAAGCAAATTTTCATTTTTGGGTCAACTATTTCTTTTAAGGTCGTGCATCTGCAGGACTCAACACAATGTAATCTCAATCTCTCCATCAAAAAACACCAATCAGATTTTACAGTCACACATACAAAAATATCACCTCCAATCTGTTTCAACAAAAACTAATAAACCAGAGACAATCATTCAATCTTACAGGACCATAGTGAGGACAGACAGACAGATTTATCTCTTTATGAGTGTTTTAGCTCTTCATACCTTAAAACAGAAATCCAGTCCAGAGATCTGATAAAAGTCCTTCCTCCTGCTGAGATCTCACAGATTCCACATCAACTGGTAGCAATTACTCGTACTGTTCACTCCTCATCAACTCAATATTAATACTGTTATAGAGAGAAGTTAGAAAGCTGATCGAATAGAACAAAAACAGAGTATGACGATCTATTAACTGGCAATGAAATACATTATGAATATCAAGTTGTGTTTTTAAAAATGATCACTAAACCTGTTCAGCATGACTGAACAATTTCATTCTACAGCTACATAAAATAACCTTTTCCTACACAAATACTTGTACCTGCCTTTGCTGGAGAGATTGCTTTTAAATCATTGCAATCATTTCATTTCTATGATTTTCAGCCATCAGCAGCTCAAGACTTCCTGAAATCTCATTTCATCTGATGGAAAGATCAAAAGAGGGAAACCTTGCATCTAGATCTGCGCTAAAACAAACCGAATGTGATGCAAACGTGCATGAGTTACGACAGCTGCACTGTGATAATAGAGTAAACTAGTGGAATCTGACAGTAAGTGAAATGTGAACTCATGCTCAAACACACAATAACATCTACACAAAACAAAACATACAATTGGACTGGGAAATAAATGCCACTGGTGGGTCAATTCTGTGCATGATTAGAGAAGAACATCATTTGGAGAGATGCAGATGATCAGCTGTCCGACGTACCGATGATATTAGCTGCAGAAACTATGTGGGACACAACACTGACAACAGACATCAAAGGATAGATCAGTAAAAGCCTCAACAAAAAAAAAAGATTGTGGTCAGTGTTTTTTTTTTTTGTCTTTTAGGGAAATAAATACTTTAATTTAGCAAGTATGCATTAAACTGATCAAAAGTGATAGTAAAGACATTTCATATAGATGTTGCTTTTTGATTTAAAAAAAATATATATATTTCACAATATTACTGATTTTACTGTATTTTTGATCAAATAAATGCAGCCTTGGTGAGCATAAGACTTTTCAAAAACAGTAGTTGTTTTGCTGTATATTGTATATTATTACCACCACAACTTCTTCCTGAGACAAATAATGTTTACTAACATACATCACAGAGAAGACAACAAATACTACACACACACACACACACAACAAAAATCTATTTTACACACACTTGTGTGTCTGATGGGTTTACTTAGCTAAGGTTTGAAGACAAAATTATCTCCAGAAGTGAGGTAAAAAAAATCCCCTTTGGGGACATCTTCATTTGAAATAACAAATACACATTTTTAAACGTTTTGTCATTTTAGACTGTAGTCATTATAATTAGCGATATGTATAAAAACAACACACCTCCTTCACCTGTTCTCTCACACCAGCGCTAGAGGTCAAATGCAGCGAGAGCAAAAATAAAACACATAAAACACACAGAAGATCAATGAGGCTCAGACTGACAGTGATGGAGACTGACGAGTGATTCAGGTGTCTGATACCTTTGAGGATGTAGTCAGTCAGAAGAGCAGGAACTGTGTCACTGTCCTCACGCATGGCATGCAGAACTACAGAGACACAGACACACATTTATTCATGTACAACACTACACACATATGCCCTCTTTACAGCTCGGTGTGTATGTGTGTATATATATATATATATATATTTTTTTTTACTGATTTATGGAGCAGTAACATTATTAAACTATTCATTTAGATTTCATCAATCAATCTAGAAATCAAAATATGCACTACCACTCAAAAGTTAAGACAGTATTACAGTTACAGTTAAGACAGTACTACTGCAAAATATTATTATTAATTTTAAATAACTGATTTCTATTTGAATATATATTAAAAATTTCTGAATCTGAATTTTCAGCATCATTACTCCAGTCTTCAGTGTCTTTAGAAATCATTCTAATATGCTGATTTGCTGCTCACAAAATATTTATTATCGATGTTAAAAACAGTTGTGCTGCTTAACCATGGTACACTTTTTCAGGATCTTTTGATCTTTGATAAATACAGAGATAAAAAGAACAGCATTTATTTAAAATAGAGTTCTTTTGTAACATTATAAACGTCTTTGCTGTCACTTTTGATCAATTTAATGGATTAATTTCTTCAAAAAAACAAACAACAAAACGAACTAAAAAAAACCCCCCACTTTCTAACCCCAAACTTTTGCACAGCAGTGTACATTATTTTATTGTATTTAAATAATATTTAAATTATAAATTAATATTTAATGACAATCATTTATACTAATACTAATTATACTAATCATTTATACTAATACTAATAGTTACAGTTTAAAAGATCATGTGAAGCACACATATCTGAGGTTCACACAAGTGGCCTGACCAAAGTCTCATTTTTGTGCATTTTACATTTTGTACATTAATTGGATCACCATAAACAGAGACACACAAGCGTTCACTTTGACTCACTCTTGGTCAGGATCTGCAGGTCTTCTACAGACGGCGCTCCGCTGCTCCTGTCGTACGGGATCACCGTCGTCAAATACTGAAAAACAGACAAAGGTGGTCAAAAACATACCACTTTTATAGATGATTTAACTGATTTTTTTTTTTTTAAATGACAGAACATGAACAAAAAATTTATTATAATTATTCGAGAACAGATACGTTTAAGATCTGAGAGACAGATGTTTTCACTTTCTTTGTGCTGATATGGAGAAAAAAGGGTAGGTTTTCCCCGAATGGATTTAAACCTGGCAAAATGTGTAAAATGAAGCTAAAATGAAGCATTACGAATTTAGCCAAATTATTTGATAAATGAACAGACGAGGGGATTGTGTAGAGCTTTGAAAATGTTCCAGTCCTACAGAAATCTATGGAGATTTCTGTGGATGTAT